TGACACACACACACACACACACACACACACACACACACACACAGAAATTATGGATAGTCTAATAATGCCAAAAAAGGAAGGGGAGAATTTCAAGTAGGAGTTTCAAATGCAACAAAATCAATTATGTGAACTGAGCACATAGATAATAAACACTTGTTAACTGAATGAATGAATGAAAGAGAGCGCTTGGGTTTGAGAATCAACTTTCCTCAGTCAGAATGGCCCGGGTTGCCAAGAGGATCTCAATGTTAAATTTTACCCCTCCCCCTTCCCCCATAAAAGTACATTTCTCCTTCTACAAGTCATCCTGTCCACCACACAGACATCCTTCCCCGATTCCCCCATGTTTCCCCCTCATCCACCTTTCCAGTTTCTGCAACCCAGTCAACACACCTTCGGCGTCAAAGGAGTCAGGAAACTCCAACTAAAGTTTCCACTTCACTAACTACTCTGCCTGTGGCTTCTCTTACATCAGGGGATATGTGGCAATTGGGTGGGAGAGGAGACTGTTCTAGTCCCAGCTGTACTACTAACCAGCTGTGTGGGTTTGGGCAAGTTACTCAACCTCGCTGGATCTGGGCTTTCTCGGATTGGAGGAGGTCGGGTCTATTTGGGTTCTAGACAGGTTTCGGAGGCGCCTTGCACCTCTAACGTCCATGATTTTATCATTCTCAGAAGGGCCTTGCAACACCCCCAGAGAAGGAAGTCAGTACGAGGCCGAGACTGGGGAAACGACCGTCAGACTTCTCCCCGAGGCGAAGCGCCGGGACCGGAGGGCACCAAGAAAGTGAGCAGGCGCTGCCCGGCCCTCGCGGATCACCGGGGAGCAGATCCCATTCCCACGGCCCGGAAGGATCCCAACAAACCCCAGAGCGATTCCCCACTTTTCCAAGACTCCGAGACGGCCCGGAGACTCCAGAAAGCCCTGCGGGGAAAATACAGATTTCTTTCCCAGAGTCCTGCGGTGCTTCTGCAAGTCGGATTCCGGCAGACACGATCTGCAGCCGGATAAAGAAATGACACAGCCTTTGGAAGGAGCGGCGGTTCTCGCCTCGCTCGCTGAGTTCTGGGGACGCCCGGCCACCCTCGCTGCGCCCCAACGGGCCGGCATCCGACCCCGGCCCGGGAGCCAGGCGAGCGGCGCCCCGCCCCGGCCCCCACCCCTCCAATGGCAACGCTGCGGACTGGAATGAATAGGTGTCCCATTTGGCTGATTTAACAAAGAAAACTCAAAATGTTGTGGACTTCAATGAGATGGAGGAATTGTTCTCTCGCTTAAAAGACAGACTGGATGGGATAAATGGTGCGGGACATAACCAAAAACCAAGGTACTTCTCGTGCTCTCCTTGTCCGAA